TAATATATTTATAAAAACTTATTTGGCTTCACCTCTATATTCAATCTAATATTATAAATCTGTGCTATTCTATAAAAAAAAAACATGTTAAAGTTGACAACATCACAACACTGCAACAAAATTTCAAAAATAATTTAGTAAACAATAAATAAACCAGAAATCGTTAGGATATTGCGTAATAAATCATACACAGTTCCGTTAATGTAAAATTGACTGGATGTCCCGCCACCTGCCTCACATGTGAAGCTATTTTAACGGAAAACTTCGTGCAAATTACCAGCTGTGGTAGTAAGGCTAATGGTAATTGTAGACTACCACATCCACCTAATGGTTGTGTGGCCGAGGAATACCTAAGCAAAATATAAACTTTAATAAACCGTCACTTTGGCATTTACGCACGCATTCATAAAAGGTTTCGTGCTCAGCAACTTTTACTACTAGCTTTAATGCTTGGTGATATCGGATATAATATTTTTAAGCTAGCATTTTACGTGAATGTATTCCAAAAGCCACGAGATTTTACTAGTAATTTAAGGAAAGGTCAATTATGGCATGGATTAGGTAAGGTTTTAGTTGATGTTCTAAAAACAGGAATGAAATCGGTTTATCAATCTGCATCATAGTATTCATAGTATCACCTGCTCATAATGCATTTTACATGTAACGGCTGCCCCATAACCCATTTAGAAAAATCCTCTCATTGAAGCCGTAATCTTTAATGCATATAGTTTTATTGCCAATAAACTATGAGCTTTAACTGAGCTTTTATTACCAAGTGGAATTTTCAATATTTTTCCATATGTTATTGGGATCTCGTTGAATCCTTAGAACTCATCGACTATAATCGTAAACTTTTTATAATTTTATTAGGTAGAGACGTTAAGAATATATTATTTTTTATCAAGAGAGAAAACAGTATGAGGAAAGACTATTAATTTTAATAAAGCTTATGGTGCTAATTTATTCCTTTTAGCTTTTTAGCGTGTAATTATCGCTTGAACTACATGAGTATACATGATGTACATGATGGAAGGATACATGATGTATCCTTCCCGATAGAGATCTTATCGATCGACTAACGACAGGAATAACGAAGCTCGATGTTTACGTTTAACTTTCTCTTGTCGCAGATGGAAACGTCAGGAGGTTCAGAGAGCTCCGGCGGCGAAGATGCGGAAGCACGGCGGTCCCGGCGTGGACATGTTCTGGCAGAGCTGCTGCAGACAGAACGGGTCTACGTGCAGGAGCTGGGCTCCATCCTCAACGTGAGTACACCTGCCATTGACATAGTTGTGCTTGGAGGACATTTCATGTTCAGAGGTCTTAAGAGTATGCCCAAATGCATCTGTTCAAACGTAACGAGTCTATTTGTAAGAGCCGGGCTACATTCTCAACTTGAGTACACGTGAAATGAGCATATAGTGCCGTATGAGTAAAGATAGTAGGTACTACATACTTGGAGGACATAACAACACGTGATAATGACTGGTCTGAGGTTCAGACATCATAAGTGGTGAGAACGCGAAAGCGCATTGGATGTATTTTATAGAGCCATAAAACAAATTTATTTAAATTCACATGGTCCTGCATATTACATTATTTTCCGTGATTTCTTTTTTTTATGATCCATCGACCACAAAATCGATAAAAACGGTCATGATCATGTGCCACTATTTGCGATTCAATCGACTACCGACCGCAAGCTGTAATGTCGACCGTTTATTTATAACGTAGCCCCCACTCATCTAACTTTCTCACGAGTGTCAACTTCCTGAAATTCTTTAGTTTACCCAATTAGGGATGTAGAGTTCACATGAACTCGACTTTTACTCTTGAAACATATTTTAATGAAAATAATATAAATGTTAACTGAAACAATATACCTAACATGTACCCATTCATTGGGCACATAATGTTACGGTACATCTCAAGGGCAAACAATGTAAGTAGGCCACACATCAATTGATTACGTCACACTCGATTAGCTCAAGAAAAATGCATGGCTCTCCATCTAACGCGCCATTACGCGCTCTGAAAAGTAAATATGCCATTGAAATGTAAGTAGTGCGCATGCACCGGGTCCAGCGGGCGGCAGTCACGAACGCGCCGAGTCAATGCAAGCAGGTGCATCAGGCGCAGGCGCGCTCGCCCGCTCGGAACGATATGCGCTCGATCACTGCACTCTGCTGCAGTCTCTCAAACGTGTTTTACACTCCGTCACGCTCTGCACCATGAAATATGGAAAATATGACCTCCATAAATCTTCCGCGAACCTCAGCGTCGGCACCTCCTACTCCTGGTACTACAGAAAAAACGACAACCCCACCACACGCAAGAAGAAACGCCTCACCAGAACCGCGTCCGACTCAACACTCTTCAGCGATTATGCCAATCAGCTCCCGCTCTTTGAAAAAGAAAAGTGCCGGAACAACAAGAAGTGCAAGAAATCAGTTAGTGACGTGGGCAAAACTTCACGTGTCAAATACGATCCGCGGAATATCAAACCCGTTTACATGGAACCATTCACTGGAAACTTCTTTTACGGAAAACCACTGCCCGGTTATGAATATACAGAAAAAACTGAAGAGCAAATCACTTATCTTCCGGATTCCGATGCAGTTACAGCGTCTGAAGATAACACTGGAGAATCTCTAACTACAGCGCCGACTATTGTCGACGCGCCTGAATACGTAAGAAATCCTTTATACGGATGCCTCGAAGCGGATGTTCACATATCGACCCCGGAGTATTCGTCCACTACAGTTTCGAAAGACTCCCAACTGAAGTCATCCAGCTGCACTGAATTGAGGCAAACTATGTGCTGCAGTAAGGAACCCGAAGATATTTTGTCAGCCATACTCAAAGACTACAAAAGAATAATGAAGGAATGGAATCATACTATACAAGATCACTATTCTTCAATATCTCACTGCAGTAAGCGAGGTTCAACGATGTGTAGGAGGAGCAACACAGACAGTTACGTGCGGAGCTTACATTCCACATTATCATGCAGGAAGCCGAGCAAATGTTTAAAATCAATGACCAGTAACACTTATAATTCACGGAGTTGTAAACACTACCGAAACATCACATCAGAAGGTACGAAGAGCCAAAGTTTGAGCAGAAATCAGACAATTAACAATTGGTCGTCGACATTACAGAAGTTGAAGAGCAAGACAAAATTTTGGAAAATCGAGCAGAACTTGACACTGACAGAGTGTGAATGTTTGGAGACAATTTACGAAGATTACGATAGACGTTTGCAAGATTGGTGCGATGCAATAAGCCATTGTTCGACTTTGATTAGTTCGGTACTGATGTTGTTCTCTTTACCACGACTTTTTGTGCCTTGTCGTTGTATTTTCTTCTGTTAGAAAATAGAAAGCGTGTTAGTGTTGTCTCGTTAGTGTCAGGTAATTATTTTATTGAAAGTTTTTGTCTTTTGCAGGGCTACAAAGAAGAGATAGAGAAGCCAGAGAACCAGCACCTCCTGCCGTCGACGCTTGTGGGCCAGGCCGACGTGCTGTTCGGGAACCTCCACGAGCTCTTCACATTCCACCAGGACGTGTTCCTCAAAGATCTAGAACGATCGATATCAGCGACAGAACTTGTCGCGCTGTGTTTTGTAGATAAGGTATGGCCCTTTGTTATATGTATACGCACCCGTACTAGACATACTAAGCTTTTTAGCAGTTCTTTGTCTCGCAGTAATTACTCCCAAAATTCTGTGGTATGCAGAATGCACCGCATTTATAACAAAAAGTTTAGTCAAGTCGATTTGTTTTGCACGTCCAGGCACTCTTTCAAGAGGGAGATTTGCGACTTATTAGGTAAATGAAAACTCACGCACACTCACACACACACACACACCACACACACACACACACACACNAGTATCACGGAACCCTATAAATATTTCTTAGGTGTTTTCATTTTTCCACTGCGAGTCTGCGAGTGAATGTGATTCATTAACGATCAATTAGTACATGTTTGAAAGTTATAATTTTCACGATACTGATTTTAGTAGTTCGCTCAACTCTCATTTTCCCCGGTAAATAAACTCAATTAACGTATGTAATTTATTAATTTTGTTCCGCAGAGGGAGACCTTCTTCAGATTGTACAGTTACTATTGTCAGAACATACCGCGGTCGGAGCGACTACGGGAGACTTTGGTGGACACGCATCTGTTCTTACAAGCGTGTCAACTACGACTAGGGCACAAGCTCCCGCTTGCTGCTTACTTACTCAAACCAGTGCAGAGGATCACAAAATACCAGTTGCTGCTAAAGGTAAGAAACTAAATAATTGGGGATGTAACTTGGGGATGTAACTTGCGATTGTTCTTGCAGTGTACCGTTAGCAATTGATCTGTGTGGGAAAGGAGGAGACAATAGTAAATTTTTACGCCGTTACCCTTTTAACAAAGGCGTTAAATGTTTTATGCCTCGATGGAATAGAACATCTCATTAAGACAGTAAAATTGTTGCCTAGCCTGCAATTCTTTTACAGATAATAAAGGCTATGATGTCATGATAAGTCTAGCTTTTGTTACCAAGTAGGCTTGCATTCAAAACCTGTCTCAAATGTCAATTACTTTGGATAATAATTCCGAGCTTAACACTGGACGAAGGTCGAATATCGATTCAAGACCAGTTTGACCACTTGAATGTATAAAGAATGCATAGTTTGCATACCTATAAAATCCTAGTATGTAAATATTTTAAAATGAAATAATCATCTCACTTAAAAAACTGGTGGATGAAAATTTAAGCATTTATTACATGGCAAAAATATTTTATAATAACGTCTTATCTTCAGAACAATTACTTGTAGGTATTTTATAATAACGTCTTATCTTCAGAACAATTACTTGTAGGTACCTACATCTTGCAAAGACTAGACTCCTAAAACGGCTCGAATACTGATGATGGATGTTCCGATACTAATTATCTAGGATTTCGTAGAGGGAATAATAGTGGATTGATTTATACCAACAATTAATTGACATAATTTATAAGCTGTCAAAAGGCATAATTTTAGCAAACACTCCGAGTACAAGTCAATTCAATTAACCAGCGTTTTTTTTTTTCAAATTCAGAGCAATTAAAATTGAAATGTCAAAGTCCTCGGAAGTCGGAATAATTTATTTAACTCGGCTATAATGTTTTTTTTGCAATTAGAATTAAAAAACGCTTCTACAGGTTGCTGAAAAATGATGTGGTCTAGTGCTGAGAAGAGGCAGCGAAATAAACTCAAGTCATTATTGTCAGCCTCTATTTCAAAGGTTTACAAAAATATTGACATGAGATAACTTTCGTAAACAATACTACCTGGAAGACGAACCCGACGAACTTTAGTAAACAAAAAGAAAGTTTTGTTGCGAGTTCAGGGCATGTTCGCAGTTGACTCAACTGGCTCCACATCGTAGCAGATGAAGTCGACGTGTCGTCGAGACACTACTGGTTTCTTTCTATGTATTTCTATGACATAGCATCCGTAGCTAGCGACACGTCCTCTGAAAGTATTTCATATAAATCCATAGAAAGTGTGTGTGTGTCGCGACTACACGTCACCTTCTGTTGCTGTGTAGAGTCAGCTACAAACTTGCGTCTTAATAGAACATTCAAATGTTCTGGCCTGGGTTCTACTACCTCAGAGCAGGACACATGCTGAGCGGTCGCCATTTTTGGTTCTAACTCCCTTTTACTTATTCAAACTGTGTTAGTTTTATGTTTGAACCAAAATAAATGTTTTTCTTTCTTTCAATTATTATTACTGATGTGTTTCCTTCTCTCCTTAGGACTTGCTGCGGTATAGTGAGTGCGGCACGATGACGACGGGTCTTCAGCAGGCGCTGGATTGCATGCTGGTGGTGCTCAAGTGCGTCAACGACTCCATGCACCAGATCGCCATCACCGGCGTGCCTGTAAGTTACCTTATCCAGCTTTGAATCTTCGGTCTTTAATCATCCTAAGAGGTGATATTAATAGGGGATAGTGCTGTACTTGTGAGGATTGAGAATCACAATGTGTTAATTGTTAGAATCTTTTGGTAGTGAGAGCGTCAACCCTTAAAACAGAGGAGAGCTAGGCTGAGTTGCACCATCTTATTATGACTTAAACAAACGTCAAAATCTGTCAAAGTCCATACAAAAAGCACCGGTTAAAGTTACAGTCAAAGTACTTAAGTTGGTGCAACTTAGCCCTAGTGTACAAGATCAGACTTTAGTATGCTAACAAGATTTTTTTAGTGAACGCCCTAAACGTTTTACATCAATTCTAGTACAAGTCTTGACTTAATAAATCGACCGGCCTTTAAGCTAAAATAGTGGTCATTCGTCATTTTTGTACTTAAGTACTTGTGTAAAAAAATGAAATTTAAACTCGTCCATCAAGTATAAATTAAAATAACACTGAAAAAGAAACGGCTAACAGAATAACTTGTATAATAAATACCTAATAAATTATAAGTACGTTAATAAATTAGGTTAATCGTGATTTACGAATATTTATAATGTTACATAGCTTGGTTAATTGTCATTGTTACACGCGAGTTTAGGTTTGTAATTAAAATAATACCTATTATAATATTTATTTTGTAACCGACCCAACAGTCTTAGCGCATGCGATCGGCTCATAAGTTATATTTAATTGTATAACTCACTTTCGTTCATTATTAAGTTGTCGACCTCGTTTGTATAATAATATGTTTTATGAGTGAGGATATTAGGCTTAGTTTCTCACGCTTCGTAGCATTTGCTAAACGTGTTTTAGTCAAGGATCTGTAACTGCAAACTATATTTAATTATATTAGGAAGTAGTACTGTAACTTATTTTTTAATATAATACGTTCGCCTTTTCGTTGGAAAATTGCACTTACAATTTTATAACGTGCTTTAGTATTTACCTCAGTGTGCTATCAGTAGGCAGTACAGAAAAAAATTGTCTGTAAAGAAATATAATTTTCAATGACATCAAATAAAACAATTTTCTTTTTTTTTATTATGCTAACCACATATCATGTGTGTCAGTAAATAAAAGTGAAGAGACTGAGATTTATTTAACATTGCGTGATACCAATTCGTAGGTAATTGCTTCTAATTGTTTATAAATATTGAATTTATTACTCGCTGCCATTTTAAAATGGTCTGGTAAAGGAGTTTAGTAGGTGGTCTCTAAAACTATTTTTTTCAGTCTATGTAGAGCCATTTGTTTGCGGCATAAAGCTAGAAAAGCATGTTTACTTACAGTTTACCCAGAAAAACGTCTTTTGTTGTACAAAGGTTTCCTAAATGATTTCCACATCATCCGATCCTGCGTTGACCGCATCCAGGCGCTTCCCATGTACAGATAGCATAGCTCATACAACTGATGGCCGTTGGGGCTCAAAAGTTCTCAAGTGGCGATTACAGACCAGTAGACGTAGTGCAAGCAGATTCCCGTACCCGTTCCCACTTAAAATACCTTGCAAACAGATTCATTTATAGTATGAGGGACAAAATTTATGGGGCGGACGGGTCCGAGACCCCCGGTGGACCATTACTCTTTTTAAAGTCGCGGAAATCATACTAACTGAAACAACTTTTATAATGGGTTCAAACTACATCTCTGCAGGTGGACCTAAGCCAGCAAGGCGAGCCTGAAACTGAAAGAGCTTTTAAAATGGAACCAACTTATCTATCTGCAGGTGGACCTAAGCCAGCAAGGCGAGCTGCTAATGCAGGGCTCGTTCCTTGTGGTGTCCGAGAACAAGCGCGACCTTAGACTGAGGCTGCGCCCGCGCCGGCGGCACATCTTCCTCTACGAGAAGGCCATGCTCTTCTGCAAGCCGGCGACTAAGAACAGCCACAATAAGGCCACTTATCACTTCAAACATGATCTCCAGGTAGGTGGATAATGGATAGTCCACTTTAAAAAAACATCATCATTTCAGCATTTTCAAGGCGAGAGTGAATAGGGACTTGAAGGGCAGATATTATTATGTACCATCCTAAACTACATCTTACTTAACACCGGGTGCGATTGCGATCAAATACCTGCCTTGTCTTTCATAAAAAGTGGAGGCCTCCACTGCATAGAACATGGTGATGATAATTTCCATATTGACTGGTTGATAGCGGCCTGCATCCAGCGCCTCCTTGCTACCCTGTCTATCATATAACAATTCTACCTTAAACAACAACAAGCCGTATCGCAGAAAGTGTTAAAATTTCACAGATGTGTACTTATTTGTCATTAAAAAATAATGTTACTAATTTTAAACAGATCTGGGACCTAATATTAGATCTAGAGACAGGAATTATCCGGAAACATAGTTCGAGTCCAATTTGGTCCGTAATTTAGATTGAACTGTTGCTTTCTACGATACTTAATGGCAAATATGACATAATGCAGCTTCCTAGGTTTTGAGGGTTCAAAAGTTCAAAACAAAATGTCAAATTAACTACTTATTATAAATTCAACTTCCGACCGCCCACTTAATTATCTCTTCATGTTCTGCAATAGTTATGTATGTAAGTAATTCATTTTTTTACAAAAAATTTGGTTACGTGTAGAAATGCGCTTCTTTTTCCATTAGGCACATTCGACCTCGCCATTTAACCTTTCCACATCCAGCCACGAGTCGTCTCGAATGCATTTATTTCGCCATAGCGATTCACATTACATTTTTCCGCGCAGATGTCACAAATCGGTCTAACAGAGTCGGTGAAAGGCGACCCGCGCAAGTTCGAAGTGTGGAGGCAAGGCCGCTCTGAGGTGCACACGATCACTGCGCCCACAGTCGACGTGAAACGCGCGTGGGTCGATCGCATCAAGCGAGTGTTGCTGGATCAACTGAAAGAACTAAAGGGGGAGAGGGTGCGGCAATACGGGACTCAGCAGCACCACAGGTTCGTACTTTATCGAACATACCTACTTTATAAATACAACAGCACTGTTAACGTGAAACGCGCGTGGGTCGACCGCATCAAGCGAGTGTTGCTGGATCAACTCAAGGAGCTAAAGGGGGAGAGGGTGCGGCAATACGGGACTCAGCAGCACCACAGGTTAGTCATTTTTCGAACATACCTACTTTAAAAATACAATAGCACTGTTAACGTGAAACGCGCGTATGTCGACCGCATCAAGCGAGTGTTGCTGGATCAACTAAAGGAGCTAAAGGGGGAGAGGGTGCGGCAATACGGGACTCAGCAGCACCACAGGTTAGTAGTTTATAGAACTTTAACATATTAGAGTCCACTGTGGGTCCACCGCATCAAGCGTGTGTTGCTGGATAGCTTGAAGAACTAAAGGGGGAGAAGGTGTGCCAAGGCTCCTGAAAGAACTGAAAGAAGAGAGGAAGTGGTTATAGCACCACAGGTTTGTATAAGGTGATACATTCAGAAGAGAGAACTTTTCTCTCGACTCTTTTATAATTAAGTAAGAAGACTTATTTTACTTATTAAATTAAATAAATATTCTACAGCTACTGAAATAATTAGAGAAAAAGGTGTCTAACGAAGGTAATAATAGTAATTAATAGACATAACATTAATTAATGAAGTTAATTGCCTACTTTAGGTTTATTGGCCTTCAACGGCTTATTCTACCACCGAATTCTATGAAAAATCCCCAAACTCAAGGTAGTGAAAGGAAAAGATTGTAGCAATACAAGCCTTAAAATTAATTGTACAGAGCATGACTTCAAACGCTCCAGATCAGTACTATCGTGGAAATTATATGTTTTTGGGTAATGTAACTTATCGAGTGCGCTTTGGGGGTGCATGGGTTCAAAGATTTTAAAAAGCAAACATTTTGAGAATCGAGTTTTTCACTTTTTCAGTCGAGAATTCAGTCAAGTAGGATCACGCATAGCCAATGCGTGGTCCTACTTACTAGTAGGTACTCTTACGCTAAAGATAAAAATACATTATGCAGGATTACATAGTGTTTTGACATTATTATGCATATGTCAAGGTTTTACCAGTCTTTGTATGGAAATATAAAGTAATGACATCACGCTGCTGTATTTTTTAGACGTTAGCTGATGAAACTAGTGTAATATGTTTTAAGTACTTAAAGACGATTTGTAAATTTACATTTAGGTAGAGTTATGTTATTCAAGTTTGCGCAGTTGATCAAACTATTAAGAAACTGTGAAAGATGCAAATTGTTTTAACTTCAAAAGGCAGTTAGTTGATTGGACAATATTAACTCAATTAGCGGCATAGGCTTTACAAAAACTATTTCACGATTGCGGATTTACCGGTTTGGCGGTAGCGACTGCGAATGTGTTATTTCGTATAGTCTCGTGTTTGATCAACTACGCTAAAGTACCTAAGTACTTGAAAAATGGGGCTTTACATTCACTTGTCATTGGCCTATCCACAGAACACTAATCCAGGCCAACTCTTGGGACATGGGCCCGCCGACCACGCAAGCGCGGCCTCACGCGCCGCCCGTTAACCCCTCGCGCACCGCCTCCTGCGACATGCACGAGGAGCCCTGCTGGTCCAGTGAGGCGTCGGATGACGACGAAGAGGAGCCGGAACACGCGCCGGTATGTATATTTACCTACCACACTAGGGGTTAAAGCAAATTGACGTTTATGGCCGTATAATAATAAAAAATACTACTTTATCCTATTCTTTTGTTACTATTTGTATGGATAAGAAACCCCGAGTGCGTTTCCTCTGGGTTTTCTTTTTTTTTTGTAAACCTTCGAGGCAAGAGAACGTCTTAACAGGGTCTCTAAACGGAGCTATGAAGGCGCGTGTATGCTAAGATGCAAGCGACGAAAAGCAAGCAAATTAAGTCCAAATGTCGTAATCATAAATCGAATTAAACCAGATCGAGTCGTTAATCTGTGCATAAAAAATAAAAGTTATGACACCTCTCATTTCATTTCCTCCAAATGAAATATGCAAAGCATTCGAATTCGTAACTTATTTCTTCTCTGCCTTGCATCGCTTGCATCGTAGCTTACATGTCTTTACGGTTTGCTCTACTTTTTTATCTTGGCCACAGTCTCGTGGAAAGTTTGGCCTCGAGGATTTTTTGCAATAATAATTGTACAAACCTTGCCGCTAAGCCGTAAACTCATGGCCTAAGGGGTTAAAAAATATGTTAGTAAAATAACTTATCGATAAACTTGTTCGTTCGTTTGTTTCAGCCAAATGACGAGTAAAATGAAACTTTTGTTCATTAACTGTACAACATATTGAATTACATATTTATTTTTAAAACTATTTCTCGTGCCATTTTTGTTTCCCTTTTAGAATTTTTCCATTTGTAAAATGCATAATTTCTTCATGTGGTCATGATACTGTTCCCAATACTACTTATACCTACTTTTAAAAAAAAAAAATGTACAGTGATGAACAAAAGTTTTATTTTATTTTAGGTGGTACATTTTTCATTTTAGAATACTTTCATGGTTACTGGGGCCTTTTCTTTGTTTGTTTGTAAAGATTACAATACGAGCATCGATAATATCCTCCAATAGTACATAATCCAAATATTTTTTATTGATAAATATCGATGGCCGTATTTGTTAAAATTTGTTTTGTGATGTTTAGAGTCTAAAAAACTGAAAAATAATGATCTTTATTTCAATATTTAATAGGATCGCAATTAGGTATAAGCTATCGTATTATGTTAAAATACAATTAAAAGTAAATAATGAATAAATAATTACTGCCTTGTATGTTCTGGGACCGGAAATTTAAAAAAATATACTTTTAGTGCAAAAAATAATATTAATTAGCTGAACACGTAGAAATTGTAAATATTTAAAACTAACTTCACTTTGTTCTTTTCACTTCCAGTTTGTTAACTCTTCATAATTTATAGTTAGTTGGTAACTATAACAAAGGGTAGTTGTTTATAAATGTGTAAACGTTGACTATTGTACTAACAACAGTCAAGGGAGACCGGCGCTTTAGCGGGATAGCTTTACTAAATACGGGTTAGAGATTAATGCCAACTAATTTGGGTTTACAGTGATGAGTGAAGTGAAAACCGCTCTTATTATGTAAGTGTAAAGTGTATTTTTAAAGGAATGCGGGCTGAATAGTCACGGGTAGCGCATGCGATCGCTGGCAATCCGAACGCACTTAACGCTTCCCGGTATCATCATGTACAGAAAAAAATAGCAAAGAGGTGGTAGTGTCCCCGCGTACAATAAAAAGAACTTGTCGTACCTATATACCTCCCCTCACTTTTAAAGCTATTAGTTACCGCAAATTTTTAGGCTCGTATTATGAAACGAAGCTCAAAACTCGATTCAAACTCAAGCATAGATTCAAGTCTGTGATTGGTTCAAATCAAATATAGATAAGGAACAGGCTTGAATATATTCTTGATGTAAAGTCATACTTGAGTGTCCTTTCATAATACGGTTCACAATAAAAATTAATAACGTCCTGCCCCAGTCCAAGATTCACGCCGTCGCTGCCTAATTAATTTAGCAATACCACCAATCATCGCTTGTGATTAGTTCCTTTAAAATTTAATTAGACACTGGCACTGAAACTTGGTTTATTTATGCACGCGGCACCTCACTTTTAAATCCTTACACTTAACTTGAGGTGACAGGGTCGGCATACAAGATGGCGCTAAATCAAATCGCCATAGTCGTTAGAGGTTCCAATGGCGATTGTTTCAAGTTGTGTTGTTCAACAGGTGACGGAGGCCGTGGGTCTCAACGGTACCATACACAGAATGGTACAGTTCTTTTCCGTATCGGGCTCCGCGCAAGCCACATCCACGTTTTACGTATCACAGTACTGATAATACCTTTACAAGCTAACAGCCGGTAGAGGCCATGTAAATACAATGAAAGAGACTGATATAATATCCAAAGTTTTGTAACCAAAGAGTTTGACAACGAACGTGGATATTTCAGTAATAATTGCCGAACATTAACTCTCGTGTAAGTCATTTTTGTTTGTTATGTTACTCATTGTCAGTGTGCTTTTTGGTTTACTTATGCGCTTGCTTCATTAGGATATGTTATAAAGTCAATGTATTTATTTTATTTTTATATTTAACTGTCTATCGTGTTACATTTAGAGTCATTTCAGTTATTTTAGTTTATTTTATTTACTTTGATTCAACACATTCAGCTTGTAAATTATTTCTGTCTGTCGCGAATTTGCAATTAATGGAAGTTTAATATCTAAGTATTTTATGGTATAGATGGCGTAGTAGGTGTTGATGAGATATATTTTAAGCCTCTACTTAACAAAACACTGCGTCACCGGATTGTGGAGTTTTTTGCAGCACGCGTGTCTGCGCACGGCTTGAAATACACTTGAGAGCACATCAAGTTGACAGTTGCACTGAAAAATTCGCTCTTATTTCGAGTGGAATAAGAGTGAACTCAAGGTTAACATGTTAACTCTGACGTGTTGTTGTGGTATACTGCTCACTGCCGTCGATGTGCAAACAATCGCTTACGCCAATACTTACACGTGTGTACGTTTTCTGTGAAAGATCAATATTTTCAACTCTACAAAGACTTATTGGATCTTGGGTCACTAAAAATATTTAAAAATTATTAACACTTTCATTGCTGACTGTACGTTTTAAATCTTAGGTACTAAAGGTTCAAGTATCCAAGATCTGATAGGTTTTTGTTATTTTCAACATTTCTTTTTACAACACGATTTTCAGCTTGATTCGAATATTTGTTATTTTGCACTCGTTTTGGACATATGGACGTGTGAATCTATAACTGTTAGAAAAGTGTTTAGTGACAGACTTCCTACTCTCAAAAACAACTCTCTCTCATAGATGACACTTTCGACTCTATTTACAAGAAAATATTATAAGTATGATATGTAATATGTAATTCCACTATTCAGATAGATACAGATGTTATTATCGAAAATATTACATTTACAGCTTTTGTACATAAACATCGTATAAGAAATATTAATTTGGTGTTATACGAACTCGCTTTCAACTAACATGCATGGCGTAGCAACATCTGCCAAACTGATTGGAACTGCGTGGAAGAAAACAACTGCTAGGAATGTATATTTAGTTGATATGACAACACTAAACTCGCTTCTCGAAGACTAACCTAACCAGCATGACGATTTTCAAAGCAGTTTGAGCAGTGGTGATGGAACGCATGATTTGATGTAAGCTAATGTGATTTCTAAGGTATTCTGTAAAGCTAGACTCACATTTATACTCCATTTGAAACAGTAGACGAAGAATGTGACTCTAGCTTGAACAGTTATGTGACAAAAACAATAATCACCAACAGATGTATTTCCATAGTCAATTTTTTCATACAACATAAAAACAAATACATTCAATGAAAGTCAACATGCATTAAGTACATGCTAGAAAAGCCAATGAGCATACAGTTAAAACTTTCTTAAAACTCATTATTCTCTCTGTGCTATCTCTACATATCCATTCACAACTAGCGTCATGTAGACTTCAATAGGCATGATGACAGATTCTGGGATTGTAAGATTTTTTGATAAAATACGGAACCCTAAAAAAGATAAAATACTTACTTTTAGTTGACTAACAAGTTCCATTCCATTTATGACTCTACAAAGTTAGGTGGGTAAAAATAACCCACAAAATCTGTAGCAAATCCTGAAATTGAATGTAGCTCTCAGCCTAACAATTTTCTTACAAATGTATTACATACAAAATTACAAACTATGTAAATATTGTTTGCATAGAGCGTTCTTGAGAAAGTAAAAAAATCTCGGTGTGAGTAAAGAAATAATTTTTAACTGTTCTATTTTTGAAATGCCATTGTTTAAGCCGCCAAATCTGTCATCATGCCACTACTCTATTACCTAGTGAAAATCTTTAGTATCTACAAACTTCAAACTGCACGTTCATGGCTTCTAGCACTCAATGCTCTACCGCGAGTTATAATGTGTTGGGGTGGGGCGCAGGCGGTGGGGTGCTCTCTGGTGGCGCTGTCGGACTACACCGCGGTAGGGGCCAGCGAGGTCTCGCTACGGGAGGGCCAGCACGCCGAGCTGCTTAAGGTGGGCTGCGCTGGCTGGTGGTACGTGCGACTCGCAGGTAAGACAACGGTCAATAGTGTGGGGTGGGGCGCTCTCTGGTGGCGCTGTCGGACTACACCGCGGTGGGCGCCAGTGAGGTGTCCCTGCGGGAGGGCCAGCACGCCGAGCTACTCAAGGTGGGCTGCGCTGGCTGGTGGTACGTGCGACTCGCAGGTAAGACCACAATGTGTTGAGGGTACTCATCTAGCCGTGTAGCATGTAATGCATCAGATACTGTATCAAGTGAGTAAAGCACGAGCCCGCTGCGATCTGCTCGCGCGTGGTTCGCCGGGAGATCGCAGCGACCCGCGTGGCGGTATCACTGCGAGCACAAAGGCGGATTCAGGAGCTCGCAACCAGATACGCGATGACCGTGGACGAGCCGTACTCACTTGAAGGTTGGTTACGTTGCATGCTACGTTACGTGCTACATGGCAGGTGAGTGCCCTGCCTTGGGGTGGGGCGCTCTCTGGGGGCGCTGTCGGACTACACCGCGGTAGGCGCCAGCGAGGTCTCGCTGCGGGAGGGNTTCAAACAAGTTTGTTTGAAGCGTCCTCTAGTTATGATTCAACTTCAATGGGCGCCAATTTTCTCTTGCTACACTACAATACTACAGTTTACTAAATAAAATTCCCATTATTCCCATTTTGTGCATTCGCAAAGTATAATTAGGCACTTACAAGCATGATCTCTCTTACCAGGAGGCCACGGCGAGGGCTGGGCGCCGGCGGCATATCTCGACCAGCGCAAGACCTCGCGCTCCTCCAGCCGCTCGCACGACCACTGAGCACCAGCGTCTGCTGCCCTCGACTCCTCCCGCGGCCGCAGCCGGCGAAGACGCACCGTCGCGTCGAAATGACACCCTCGGCCAACTCTATCCACGGATTCCACGGCCTCATGCCTTATTGTCATTTTGAAAACGACATTTTCCACCATTACACCTCTTCAAATTTTGTGGGCACTTAACCCCCGTTACGTTTAAACTTGTTCCTATTTCCAAATGCCTTGTTAACCCTACACTTGTAAATTTATTTTCATTATGTTCTTGATTGTACATTTTATTTTTTATTTGTTAATGATTTGATGTTGAAAGCGAAGTGTAGCTAGTTAGTAAGATTAACGGAAATTGTACATTTTCGTCACAGAGCAAGTAGACGTTTCGTTAGTATAGACAAATTTTTGATAGAATTCGAAAGACGCACGACAGTCTCTCGAGCCAAGTAGCGCGAGGGCTTGTAGGCGAGGCGTTGACGTCACCCCCCACTTGTTGTTAATGTCGAACAATAATATTTGTTAAATGTATGTAAATGTTGTTCTAAAAAGCTTTATTGTAAATTAGTGTTAGCATAGTCCCGAGTTATCGTTACGTGCGAGTATCCAAAGCTATGTAAAGCGTAGGGCGTTGTTGAGTAGTCGTGACTGTTCATATGTACTGTACATACATTTTAATTTAATTATAGTAATTTATTTCGATGCTAGACGAGCTTTCGGTGTTTGCGTATCAATTTTCCATGACAGTTACTGTGGGTATTTTTTTTATCCAAGTATTAGGGACCTGTATTACATAGCCTGTCGTCGTAAGCCATGTTTGTGTGATCGACCGTTCTCATATCATATCTTCATCAAATCTTTATATTAGGTATATTATTATTATACAATTTAATGCATGAGTGCTGTTCGAAGTTACGAGCAAAGCGTGTGCAGGTGCATTGTTTTATTGCATATCTTATATTATATCGTGACATCTTTAAATACATATGTATTGATTACAATTTACTAGTCGGGATCTTTTACTTATTTATTTATAAAATCGTGTCATATTCATCGGGTGCATATCAAGCATTCTCTATTGATTTAAGTTTGGTGTGATTTTCTTAAAGGAGTTGTTTATTAAATTAGAATTCATATGGAAACAATTTATTCCTGTAAGTGCCTGAGTAACAAAAGATTAAAATATTATGATATGTACCCATTTGTATATTTTTTCATATTGACGATTTTTTTTTCGACTTCGCTGCATTCTTTTTGTGCCACAGTACCTGTTATCAATAATAATTTGTACGAAACTTTCTTATCATTAATTTATGATTTGTAAAAAGTTATGTCCATTGAAGCTGACCATAATTACACAGTATTTGTCCATTTATTTTGTGTTTTATTTGTACCATTTTCATTGCATATTCAATTTATTCGTCTTTTTATTTTAATCTGCACCTTATCGAACCTTGAGCAAATCACTTTGTATTGTAGTTGAGTATCTATCATAAGCTTGCATGGTAATTAATAAAACGATTCATAGCATTTCGACAAAGTATTGAAAGTCACCATTGACCACACCATCAAAAGACCGTTTCACTATTCCATGGACAAATGGTTCACATGAACAAAAAACAATAAAATTTAACTCTACAGTAGACTTTACCAATATATTATATACCTACCTTTACACAATGTATAACGTGTATAATCTAATCGTATCTTACTCAATAAATAAGGCTTTAAAATTTCCCATTAATGTCCGGCTGAATAATCGGTTGATTAAAGTGCAAACCTTAAAGTATGATGGCTGTGAAATACCTAGTGATGAATTTTGTATGTTTTTAATTACATTTGTCCAAATCAATGTTGGACTTCCTTTGTCCAAATATAATATAGGTCACCTTTGTCTTTTCCCCCTAAAACATGGTAAACTTTCTATCTATCTTCTATTAAGTATAAGAAAGTACCTAGGCTTAGATGATAATAACAGCTATTATAATAGTAAATCGTTTTGACGATTAGGTTTACCTACTGTAGTTTGATTTTGTAGAATTATCGCGAATAAAATGTGTTAATCATGATAATAACCAGATAAATAATAGTGATTCATATAACATATATACCTACGTACGAGTTACAGAAATTGCACGTTCATAATCAAACCGTCACTATACGAAATTGGGAGAAATTGAGTTAACATCGCCATCTATCAGCACTCCGCGAAAAGTGCATGCTGTAAAAATCCCACGCTTAAAGCTCAAATAGTTCGGCAGATATCACTAGTGTCGTTATGGAGTTTAATGGGAAAACCGGCATTTGTTGTGAGTAACAGTGACACGTTTTCAGTAGTGACGGGATCTGGACGGGCACACCGTGATAGTTATGTAAACTCTGTGTTGAAAAACGTCAGTTTTAGCATAAAGTCGCTTTTACTCCAAAACCATAAGATAAGTCACAATAAAGTAATACGAAAAACGCCTTAAAACAAAAAGTGACAATATTTCTCTTACATTTTCAACCGACTTCAAAAAAAGGAGGAGGAGTTTTTTTTTTTTTTCTATGTTTGTTACGCGATAACTCCGCCAATTATGAACCGATTTGAACAAATCTTTTTTCAGCGTATAGGTGATACCTCAAGGGTGGTCCCATTTAATTTTAATAATAAAAAAAACAACCCCCAAGGGTGGAAAATTGGGGATGAACTATTTTATACGCAATATCTCCGCCGATTATGAACCAATTTGAACGATTATTTTTTTGTTGAATAGGTATTATCAAAAGGGTGGTTTCATGCAAATTTGAAGAAAATATTTCAACCCCAAGGGTGGAAAATTGGGGATGAACTTTTTTATAATATACATTAAGAATATGGTCTCAATGTACTGCCTACCTTCAGTGGTAACATCAAGGTAATAATTAGTTAACTAAAAAGCAAGAAATAAGTAAAATTTTATAAAAAAAAATAAAACCGACTCCAAAAAACCTACACTAAAAAGTAGAAAAATAATTACTAATTACCTACTTATTTATTAGGACGAATTATTAATATTTATGTAGGTATACCATGATTGATACTTTAAGTCCCCTATCACATTAGCAGATAGATAGCATTATTTATTTTCATATTTGATAAAGTATACTATTACGCAATCAAACAACCTGTTCCAAGATTCCAGTTCACTATATTTGTCCAAGAAAAATAGTCTCTAAAATAGTCAACTAATTTTTCAGTACACAATACCAAAAATAAACAACAGACGTAATGAAATCACATGTAAATTACATTTGTACAGAGCACTTTTCCTTAATTAAAATGAGCTGTGATATTAGTTTACTGAGCATCTCGAGTTCTGCTAAAAATCCTGCTTTTGAATATATTATCAATCCTGCTGAAAACCTCTTCAGCGGGTTTTGCTGCATCAACCCTGTAGTGGAGGCCTTTCCTCATGTAGTAGTCGACCAGAGGCACAGTCTGTGCGTGGTAGGTGGCCAAACGTTTCTTGAGTGCGTCTACATTGTCATCTGATCTCTTGACAAGGGGCTCTCCAGTGACATCGTCGGTCATAGTCTTCTTAGGTGGATGGAACTCTTCGTGGTAGCTGCGCCCACTTGATGGGTGAATCAGTCTCCCAGTTATTCTGCGCACAAGCAGGCTGTCCTGGATGCCAAATTCAATCACTGCATCCAACTCAGTTTTCCTTTTTGCCAGCAAATCATCCAACTGTAATTTCAATAACAAAAAAGTTATGAAACTTCTCTAGAATAAAGATAATGTTATTGGTTGTTTTGGTAGGATAGGAGTGTAAAATTTAAAATCCTTGAGACAATAACCAATTTCAATAAAAAAATTGGGACTTATGAACATCAAAAATGATGTACTGCAAATGATAACAAAAATAGATTTATCATTAAAATAAACATAACTGGTTCAATAAATCATCTAAAAATGTAAATAGCTTAGCCAACCAAACAAAGCAAAAACTTGTTTTTAAAACTTAACTAAGTCACCCTAACCCACCTTTTCAGCCTGAGGCACAGTTCTTGGGAAGCCATCCAACAAGAACCCATTCTTGCAGTCCGGCTGGTCAAGGTTCTTATCGATCATGTCCACGACCATCTCATCGGAGACCAGCTTTCCCTCATCCATGACCTTCTTCAGGCGGCGCCCGAGCTCGGAGCCCGAGGCCACTTCGGCCCGGAGCATATCCCCCGTCGACAAGTGACATACGCAGTATTTCTCTTTCAAACGTGGAGCCTACACACAAAAACTTTATGTAAGAAAACATTCTAAATTATCACCAAGAATACGATTAGAGGAGGGTAAAGGTCAAAGATGCATACACTCTCACATAACTACCTGTGTGCCTTTGCCGGACCCGGGGGGACCCAACAACACTGCCCGGATGCCCAATGGGTCGTCATCAGGCTTGGGCTTCACTGCGGTTGCCGCCGGTGCCATGACTTCGAAGTTTTGCGTTAAAATTAAGTAACCTTACTACAAAATTGTAAACCTAATCTAACCTAAATCGTCTTAGGCGACCGCTTGTGGCCAAAGCGCCGCTTGCACTATTTACTGATGAATATTATGAAATGGTAATATCGTGTATACGTGTGTATCAGTTTATCAAGCAGAAAAAACGATTTGCCAAGCGCTCAGCCAAGCCAACGCATGCCCCATGTGATGGTGACGTTGGTCAATAAACCAACTGTCAGCTGTCATGTCATTGTCAGTCAGCTGTCATTTAAATTAAATACAAAGATAATATAAATCTTCACGTGGGATAGTCCATACAAAAAAAAACACTATGATGAAACCACAGATAAAGATAGATGCAGCATGTGTCAAAAATTGTATGAAGCCGAGCGTGCCACTTTTTAAACGTCATTAGTGTCATTTTAGCGAATTTTAGTGATTGCCGCAACGTAAAAGTAATCGTATCATCGTAATGCATTTGCAAAGTCATCGAATGATATCGTGTGACTCGATTCGAAAATTAATTAATTCCGATAAAACTGATAATTTGTTCAATACAAAACCAAAAACATCTTTATTTACCTTTATAAAATAAATTAATTCTTACAAATCGTCAAATCTCGTTATTTTTTTTACCTTACCAGCGTTTTATGACATAAATTTGTCAAGTGCATGAATACATGGATCAGTGTGTGTCTTATTGTTATGAGTAAGTACGGTTCCTTGGGATCGGTATGAGTAGAGATGGGTTTCCACCCGGGTAAAAACCCACATGAGGGTAAAAACCCAATAAAAACCCGTTTCATTCCACCCGTGGGTGTTTACACCGGGTGAAAACAAATAATTTTATAATTATTTCAATTGGTATCTTTTCTTTATTTTTATTGAATTTTTCTCATTTAAGTTTATTGATTAATAAGTAATAAGTCAAACTAAATGACAGAGGGTACACAGCCATTGGATATGCAGATGACATCACCATACTGTTAAACGGAGGGGCTGAAAACGTGCTATGTGAAATAATGCGTTCAGCCCTAAACATTGTTGAAAACTGGTGCAACGACCACCAGCTGTCAGTAAACCCAAACAAAACTGAACTAATCCTTTTCACTAACAAAAGGAAACTACCAGAGCTCCAGCTACCAGAACTCTTTAAAACAAAACTCTCCCTCTCAACACAAGTGAAGTATCTGGGCATCACCTTTGACCACAAATTGAACTGGGCGAGTCACATTGAAAACAAGACAAAGAAGGCCTGTATAGCATTTTATCAGTGTAAAAGACTCATTGGTAGCAGATGGGGTCTTAACCCTAAGATAACACTTTGGCTCTACACATCAGTTATCAGGCCCTCTGTCACTTATGGATCAGTTGTCTGGTGGCCCAGAACAAAACTATCCACAGTAAGATCAAAACTCCAAAGCCTGCAACGTCTAGCAAGCATAGCGGCCACTGGTTGCATGAGAACCACACCATCGGCATCACTTGAGTACCTTCTGAATCTTAGACCCTTAGATCTCATCATTCAGGAGGAAGCGCAAGCAGCCGCTCTAAGACTTAAAGGAAACGGCCGCTTGTACGAAAACGCCACAATGTCGGTTCGTCTCCAGGATCAGGACTCGAAACTCATCCAGTTGCAGCAAGGGGTGAGACAGGGAGATGTCATATCTCCGATACTGTTCAACACCGCCCTGGAAGATGTTTTCAAGCTTCTGAACTGGAGCGGATTCAGCATAAATATCAACGAGTACATAATCCACCTTCGATTTGCGGACGATGTCGTAATCATGGCTGAGACTGTGGAAGATCTAGGCATAATGCTCGATGGCCTAAGTAGAGCCTCTCAACAAGTGGGCCTGATGAATGAGTATGAAAATGAATATGGACAAGACAAAAAACATGTCAAATATCCATGTAGTATCCACTTATCTGGAGATTCTACACTCGAAAGTTTACTGACCTGGGACAAACAGTCCAGTTACGCAGGTCCAACTTCGAGAAAGAGGTCAATCGTCAATCCAACTCGGCTGGGCAGCGTTCGGGAAGCTTCGTGATATTCTCACGTTCGAAATGCCGCAGTGCCTCAAGACAAAAGTTTGATCAGTGTGTGTTGCCAGTGATATTTTATGAATCTGAGAGGTCACCCAAAAGGTGATGGAGCGTGCGATGCTTAGTTAATTTCCCTACGTGATTGAATCAGAAATGAGGAGATCCACAGGAGAACCAAAGTGACCGACATAGCCCGCAGAATCGCTTAAATCATAGCAAATAATAGTGGCAGTGGGCGGGGCACATAGCTCGCAGAGGTAATGGCCGCTGGATAATGATCCAGAATTTAAACCTACTTCTCTGAGCCTTTTCCCATGAAAAATCACTATCTAGTTCGTCAAGTTCATCGAGGTCATCAAGTTCTGGTTGTTTAAAGGCTGTTGAACAAGAAAGTACCTTATTTTCCAAGAAGTTGATTTATGTGATGTAATTTTATAGTAATTTCATGTGTGTAACGTATTTATTTCTGATCGAGAATTTACATTTATTACTGTTACCATTGGTACCACTTAAACCAAATTATTAAGTTTTAAGTTCATTAAAATTACTGTTTTTTCTATGTTAGTTTTATTTAATAATAATCATTTTTTAATTTTTCATCGTCAAATTTATATGAAAATAGTGACATTTCTACCGGAATTAATAATACAACATTAACACGTTTTTAATTGAAAACTGTCACTGTCTCAATTTTAGTGGAAAAGTGACACTATTTTTAGAGAAAAAATTAAATATTAAATAAACCATTATGATAATTTGAAAGATAATTATATTTCCGTAAAAGCCAAATAAGCCACTACTGGTCTTTAACAAAAAACAAAACATTTAATAACATTTTACTCATTTTGCAAAGGTTTTAAAATTTGAGCATTTCAAATGCTTTTCCTGAAAAATCGACTTTTTTGTATAGTGACAGTTTGATTATGAACGTGCGAAATTATTTTTTTATACCTATAAATCCGATCTACCATTTATGAAAGTGAAGGCGAAAAATGGTAATTAACTTCAGTGCCCTGAGCACGAATAATGTCCTCATTAAAGCTTACTGTAATAAGGTTTACCGTTTTTAGTAAATATTATAAACAAAACTTTACTTAGGTCGAATTATTCGTGCTCAGGGTACTTTTCGACTGTACACGCTTAATTTCTCCGTGTTCACAAAAATCTTCAATCAAATTAAACAAAATGACATGTAGGTAGAATAAAGTTACGCTTTTTACTAGCCTATCCACTAGTCTTAGCCTATCCACAAATAAAATAAGCGCTTCAATTGATACTCGTAACAAAAAGACAAAAACAAGTTTTACACCAAAAAGGAAGTTTTTAATAAAACGGCCTCGAAATTATTTTTCCATAACAATTTGAAAAGTCGTCAGCATTGAACCGGGAAGTTCACTTCAACAGTTTACTGTATGTTTGTATGAGAGGATGTATCAATGGTAACTAAACATCTAAGCAATACTTGACAAACTTATTACAAGTGAGTTAGAATTTTAGACAAGTTAAAAGACCTTAGCCCGTTTATTTGTCCTTGCACATTGATAAACACTTATTAATCTTAACTCACAATATAGACTTTATAACATAAATCTATTCAGTAGACTTTTGTATTTGTACTCGTACCTGTCTTAGGAAGTCGTAATTTTAAGCAGTTATTGGTAGTTAAATGACGATGGTTAACAGACGCGGTTGCACCTGGTTGCACTTAAATGTAGCTTAAAGTAACGCATTTTATAGGTCTAGAATGATTCGATTACTTATTGCAAATGGTGTGTTGTGTATTAGAAGTCTGTTTTCGTAAAAGAGCGTAAAACGCAAAATATTTGCTAAAGAAAATACTCAGTTCCCTTGTTTTAGTAACCTGAGTAGATCGAAAAAACTAAAGACAAAACAATGGCACAATAAGATCACATGCAAAGCATGTTACCAAAAAAAATCTAAACCATAAAAATTTAAAAAGGGATTTATTTAGGTGTGAAATGTGTATGATTATGCCTTTACTCGAGCTTATAAAATCCAAACATGTATGTACCTACTAACATTATGTTAACACATCATTATTATCAAACAAATAAAATAATATGTTACTGGAAATAAATAAACCTTTCATTCCGAATTTTTTGCTTTATTTTTATGACTTTAAGCTATACTGTTTGTCTGTGATGATAAGTAGAAATATAGTTTACCTAACAAAAAAACATTCCTGAATATGAAGATAAACAATACAAACTTTATACAAGTACTTGTATAATGCATTACACTGCAATATATATTTTTATTCCTTGACCATGCAATGCAGAGTTGAGCTAGTGATAAGTTATTCTCAACCTTTATCATATCATTGAGTAACCTACACACCAACAACAAGTCATCAACTAA